GACAGATCATCTAGACAAAATATCAACAAAGAAACATTGGATTTAAACTGCACTGTAGACCAAATGGAGCAAACAGATATTTACAGAACATTCCATCCAACAGGTACACAATTCCCAGTCTTCTCAACTGCACATGGAACATTCTCCAGGAGATCATACCTTAGGCCACAAAGCAAGTCTTAACTTTTTTAAATGAAGTATTTTTTTCTGCCAGTAATGGAATAAAACTATCCATCAACAACAGGAGGAACTTCAGAACTGTACAAATACATGAAAATTAAAGAACATGCCCTAAACAAACAGTGGGTCAATGAAGAAATTAAAAGAGAAATTAAAAAATTTCTTGAGGCAAATGAAAATGAAAACATAACATACCAAAACTTATGGGATACAGCAAAGATAGTCCTCAAAGAAAAGTTTATAGCAATAAATGCCTACATCAAAAATGAAAGATCTCAAATAAACAACATAATGATGCATCTCATGAAACTAGAAAAGCAAGAACAAACAAAACCCCAAATTATTAGAAGAAACAAATGAATACAGATCAGCACAAATAATCAAAATAGAGACTGAAAAATACAAAAGATCAGTATAATAAGTTAGTTATTTGAAAAGATAAAGTCAATAAACTTTTAGCCAGACTAAGTAATAATAAAGAGGAAAGACAGAAATAAATCAGAGGTGAGAAAGGAGACATTACAACTGATAACACAGAAATACAAAGAATTATAAGAAACTATTGCGAACAATTACATGCCAACAAATTGAAAAGCCTAGAAGAAATGGATAAATTCCTGGACATATACAACCTACGAAGGTTGAATCAAGAAAAAAAAGGAAAAATTGAAGAAATTAACAATGAGCAACAAGATTGAAGCAAAAATAAAGTGTCCCATCAAAGAAAAGTTCAGGACCTGATGGCTTCACTGCTGAATTCTACCAAACATTTAAAGAACTAATAACAATTCTTCACAAACTATTCCAAAAATTTAAAAGGAAGAAACTCTTCCAAAATTATTCTAGGAGGCCTTCATTATCCTGATTCCAAAACCAGACAAGGGCACAGTAACAACAAACAACTACAGGCCAACATCCTCAATAAAATACTAGAAATAGAATTCAACAGCACATTAAAAAGATCATTTACCATGATCAGATGGGATTTATCCCAATGATGCAAGGATGATTTAACATATGCAAATTAGGAACATGATACAGCACCTTAACAGAATGAAGGACAAAAATTACATGATCATTTAAATAGACACAGTAAAAGCATTTGATAAAATTCAACATCCCTTCAAGATAAAAACTCTCAACAAACTTAGTATAGAAGGAACACACCTCAACATAGCAAAGGCCTTATATGATAAACCTGCAAACAAGTTGATACTGAGTAGGGAAAAGTTGAAAGCTTTTCCTTTAAGAACTGGAATAAGACAAGGATATCCACTCTCACCGCTTCTATTCAACACAGTACTGGAAGTCCTAGCCAGAGCAATTAGGTAAGACAGAAAAAAATGGCATCCAAATTGGAAAGAAGGAAGGCAAATTGTCCCTGTTTGGCTGGACTTGGTGGCTCATGCTTGTAAACCCAGCACTTTGGGAGGCCAAGGCGGGCAGATCACTTGAGGTCAGTAGTTTGAGACCAACCTGGCCAACATGGTGAAACCCCATTTCTACTAAAAATACAAACTTAGCTAGGTGTGGTGGCACGCCTATAGTCCCAGAAACTCAGGAGGCTGAGGCAGGAGAATCACTTGAACCCAGGAGGCAGCGGTTGCAGTGAGCCTAGATCATGCCATTGCATTCCAGCCTGGGCAAAAGAACAAGACTCTGTCTCAAAAAAAAAGAAGAAGAAATGTAAGACCTGAAACTGTGAAACTATTAGAAGAAAACATAGTATAAACATTTCATGACATCAATTTGGGCACGAATTTGTTAGACAAGACCTCAAAATCATGAGTAACAAAAGCAAAAATAAAGAAATCTGATTACATCAAACTGGAAAGCTTCTGCACAGCAAAGGAAACAATCAACAGAGTTGAGACAACCTACAGAATGGGAGAAAATTTTTACAGATTATACATCTGACAAGGGATCGATATCTGGAATATACAAGGAACTCAAACAACTCAATAGCAAAAATTCAAATAATCCTATTAAAAATTAGCAAAAGACCTGAATAGACATTTCTCCAAAGAAGACACACAAATGGCCGACAGGTATATGAAAAATGTTCAACATCACTAATCATCAGGAAAATTAAAATCAAAACCACAATGAGATATCACTTAACCCTAGTAGAATGGCTATTATAAAAAAAACTACAAAATAACAAATGCTAGCAAGAATGTGGAGAAAGAGAAACTCCTATACACTGTTGGTGGGAATATAAATTAGTTAAGCCATTAGAGATAATAGTATAAAGATGCCTCAAAAATTAAAAATAGATCTGTCATATGTTCTAGCAATCCCATTACTGGATATATACCAAAAAGAAATGAAATCAGTATGTTGAAGAAACATCTGCATCTCCATGTTTATGACAGCATTATTCACAATAGTCAAGATATAAAATCAACTTAAATGTCCATCAGTGGATGAATGGATAAAGAAAGTGTGCCATATGCACAATGGAATACTATTCATCCATTTAAAAAAGATGAAATCCTGTCATTTGCAACAACGTGGATGAAGCTGGAGGACACTATGTTAAGTGAAATAAGCCAGGCAAAGAAAGACAAATATTGCATAATCTCACTCCTATGTACAGTCTTTAAAAATTGGTCTCATAGTAGTTGAGATTTGTGATTCTAGGGAGATTAGGGGGAAGTGGGAGATGGAGACAGGTTAGTCAATGGATACAATGTTACAGGTAGATAGAAGGAATAAGTTCTGGTACTCTATTGCATAGTAGGATGACAATAGACAACAATATTATACTGTATGTTTCAAATAGAAGAGAGGATTTTGAATGTTCTCACAACAAAGAAATGACAAACGTTTAAGGTGATGGATATGATAATTACCCTGATTCAAATAATTACACAATGTATACATGTATTGAAACATCACATTGTACCCATAAATATATACAATTAGTTATAAAAAGCAATAAATTAAAAGTAATACAGTCAATAAAAAGTAATACAGTTAAAAAAATAAAATTGCCCGTTAGGATAAATAAAAAGACCCCCACGCAAAATTATCATTGTGGTATTTTAGAGCACAAAGAGAAGATACTTAAAGTTTCTTCTGGGAGAAACAGGTCACATACAAAAAAATGGGAATTAGATTGACAATATAATGGAGCAATATTGTAAAAGATCTAAGGGAAAAATTATTTTGAACCTAGAATTTTTGGTCAAACTATGAATCAACTTTGGGGGAAGAAAAAAGACATTTTCAGATATAGAGGGCCTTAATAGCCACTGAATGTGTGCTGTTGTAAAACCAGTGACTACATAAAAGAGGAATTTGGAAGATTCAGCAACCCCAGAGAATAATGAAGTTTGAGAAGGATGTTTTCTCCTTAATTCTTTTCTGTATTTTCCAATAATTTGATAATAAACATGCATAATTTTAGAAATAAAAAAATAATTAATTTTGAAAACTTGCAAGTTCCTGTTCTCACATAGCTTATAATAGAGTGGAGTGACAGACTGTAGTCAAATAATCATAATAATACATACAAAATTACAAGCTGAGCATTACTCTGAAGGAAAATTATATAATTCTATGTAAACCTATAATAAAAGAATGTGACCTAGACTGGGGAATCAGAGAAGGCTTCCCTAAGGAAGTACGCCTTGAACTTAGCTTTGAAACTGGGGAAATGAGGCAATGTGAGATGAAGCTGTAGCAGTATTAGGAATCAAATCTATTGGGGCCTTCTAGTCCTTAGTAGAGAGTCTGGACTTTATTCTATGTGGAATGACAGGTACCAATGGGTTTTAGGCTGGTAGATACTACAATCAGATCTGAAATGCGAAAATATTACACCAGTTTCTTTGTGGGTAAGAGTCTCGGAGGGGAATATGACTAGCTATGGGAAGACCTATAAAAAATTTTATCAGTAGCTCAGACAAGAGATACTGGTAACTTGGATTAAGATGGCAGTAGTACTAATAGTGAAAAAATAGATATATTTGAAAGTTCTTAGCCAAAATAGGAGGCAACTATGCCCTCGTAGTTACCAGTGTGAGATCTTAAAACATGACTGCTTGGGTTCAAATATTGAGCAAATTAATTAACCTCTCTGGGCATCCATTTCCTCTCCTGCAAGACATGATTGATAATAATTTCTACATTCATAGGATTGTTATGAGGAATGAATGAATTAAAACTTGTAAAATACTTTGGACAGTGCTTGACATAAAGCAAGTGCTCAATAAATATTAGCTATTACTGATTATATTGCCCTGGTCAATGTCAAATTGCATATGGGAGATGAGAATGGGGACAAAGGTAACTCTAACTTGCATATTTGAATGTAGGATGCTGCCATTCACTGTTATAAAAACCTCTGGAAAAGAACGAAGTGATGAAAATTGTAAATTTGGTTTTGAACATGTGAGTTTTATGAGATATCTAGGTGGAGATGTTGAGAAAGTAATTGGCTGTATGAATCTGGAGCTCCAGAAGAGGTTAGGAGAGGAGAGAGAAGAAGGAGCAGTCTGAGAAGTAGGAGAAAAAAACCCAGAGAGATGTTGGCACAGAGGCCAAGGGAAGAGGGTGTTTCAAGAAAGAATGAATGGTCAACAGGTGCAAATAAAGACTGAAAAATATACATTGGATTTAGCAGCATGATGGTGATTGGTGACCTTGGCAAGAGCTGTTGGTTTGATAGTAGCCCAATATTCTTGATAGATTTGTTTACAAGTCCAGGTAGCAATAAAATGTCTAAGATTGATTTGTCCATTGTGCCTTAGAAAGTGTTTTTCATTTCAAATTCTCCACTTCTTAGCCATGGGTGTCTTATTCCTACTTTACAGGTCTGATTGGATGCCACAGGAAATCAGTGTATTGGCATGTGATTGGAATGGGCACCACTCCTGAAGTACACTCAATATTTCTTGAAGGTCACACATTTCTTGTGAGGAACCATCGCCAGGCCTCCTTGGAAATCTCACCAATAACTTTCCTTACTGCTCAAACAGTCTTGATGGACCTTGGGCAGTTTCTACTATTTTGTCATATCTCTTCCCACCAACATGGTAATATCTTGGAACTTTAAAATGAGTGTTATAAATATCCAGTTCTACTTTTAATAGAATTTACTGGACAATGTACAGGAATATAGGGTGTTGCTGAAGGGGACATTACAGAGTTACTGTGTTAGACCTTAACCAAGATCCCCTAATTTCTAGCTGCCAGTGTAAAGTTTTTACCTTGACTATAAAAGAGCTTGAGTATTAGTAGGGCTCATGGATTTTTAGTTAAATGTCTGTGATAGAGGGAGAAAAGATGGCTTAGGGATGATTGAGGTGGGAAGATGAGGAGAACAGTATGCCCGTGGTTTTTCAGCCTTATCCCATTAACTGGGCTCCAATATCATGAAGAAAGGAATACAGGTTGTAGCTGAAGAGATGTTTTTTGGGAAATCTAGGGAAATGGAAAAAAAGGCATTTCTCAGGTTGCAACTGTAAGGGCTCCAGGATATCAGCAGCAATGCCCAGAGCATTAAATAGCAAATATGACAGGATATTGTAGTGCTTGACTTGAGACACCAGACCACTGGAGGCACTCTGTAGATACCTGGCTATAGATGAGAGACATCTGTGAAACTGAGGGCAGGTCAGAAGCTAGTGAATTTTAGGACAAGTAGCATGGGATTGAAAGCTGGTCAGCATATGTGAAGCACCACATGAGGTTTTCAAGGACTATTTGATGGAAACTTTGCAAAGGGTCAAAGGTTCTGTGTAAGCAAATTGGGATGATGGTAACTACAGTTTCAAATTATTGTTAATGTGACTTTATTTGTAACTACCAGTTGTGCAAATTCATATTGTATCATCATTTGACCCCCATTTTCCTACTTGTGTATTTATTCTACTAACTCTTAATCTCAGATCAACCTAATAACCCTCTTTCTCTACCCCTTTTGCTATCATTGAAGGCTCTTACTCAGTTTGTGCTGCAATAACAGAATACCACACACTGGGTAATTTATAATGGGCAGAGATTTATTGGCTCACAGTTCTGGGGGCTGGGAGGTCCAATATCAAGCTGCATCTTAACATGGTGGGAGGCATCACATGACAAAGGACAAAGCAAAAGAGCCCTCATGACCTAAACACCTTTTAAATGTTCACCTCTCAATACCATCATGATGATAATTAAATTTCAATATGAGTTTTGGAGGGGACACACATTCCGATCATAGCAAGAGCTGCTGGAGAAAAATGTCTAATCTTTTATATTTAGTAGCTACTTCCTCAGGTTCCTTGTTGTCTTAGAAAAGAGATTTGATCTTGCCATGTATCCTCCATTTTCCTCCTTCTGTTCTGTTAGTGACCTTGTTTATAGTCCTCTGTAGTGATTAATAATAGAAATCTCTTTTCCTCATCTGTTACATATTTATGGAATTTTGACAGGACATTAGTGGACAAAGAGTGTCATATGGAATGGGTAATGGGAAGTTGATACACAAACAAAATCCTTGCAGGCACAGAGGAATAGGTCATTGTCAATCAATTTATTGTCCAGTTGGAGCCTGACTCAGTTGAAGAGTTTAGTTTTTGTTTTGTTTTTTTCTTCCTTTTCACAGATTCTATCCACGATTTTAATCTTTATTTTTCAGAAAAAAAATGCTTTATCTTATTGAACCTCAGACAAAACCCTTTGTTTTTAGATACAAACTGAATTATGTTTGAGGCCAAATGAACCCCAGACTAGTTGTTTGCTGCTCCTAAAACCTGCCCTGTTCCTCATAATCAATTAAACAGGTCTCCCTTCTTAGAAGTATTTGATCTTGAAAATTGCCCTGTGGTATAAATAGGGCAAGAATTATTATTATCCATTTTACAAAGCATAAAGATGAGACTGAAAATGTTGAATAGACTTGCCATAGGGTTTACAACTAGTCACAGGCAGACATGGTCTTAAAATACATATCTCCTTGATTTTAAGTTGTATCTTTTCATGTTTTTATGAACTTGGAACATGTCTTAAAGTTTACATTTTTCCCAATAAGCTGTTATTAAATCAATGATTTGTATTATAATCCAATAGGGTAAATATAGAAATCATTAGGTGACTGTGGGGATGGGGAGGTAGACTGGTCTAGGCTTTGAAATGCTGAAAATATGCAGTTCTTCAAGTCTCTTTGTTTATAATTTGGGTGGGGGGAACGATAGGCTCAAAGCCAGTTCCAGAAGGGAAATAGTAATACATATTATAAGAGCAAACGAATTACTTTTGAAAAGGAAGTGAAACATATATAGAGAAGAGTCAAGCAGAAGGCAAATGGTAAGTGCAAAGACCAGAGGAAGAAACAAGTACCAGATAATCCATTAAGAAATATATATATGAAGTGGCAAAAAGGGATAGTGATGTGGAGAGGCACCCCACACTCTCTCTCCTGCTCCTGCTTTCACCATGTGATGTGCCTTCTCCCCCTTCACCCACCCCCATGACTGTAAGCTTCCTGAGACCTCCCCAAAGCCAAACAAATGTCAGCACCATGCTTCCCATATAGCATGCAGAACCATGAGCCAATTCAATCTCTTTTCTTTATAAATTGCCCAGACTCAGGTATTTCTTTATAGCCATGCAAGAACAGCCTAATACAGCAAGAAAGTCTGACATTGTTTGGTTTGTCTGACTCCAGATGGCATGGAAGCTTATGTCAAAGTAGACAGCTGCCCAGAGGAACCCCAACTACGAAGGAAAAATAATGAAGAAGAGGAAGACTATGATAATGATTTTGCTGATTCTGAAATGGACGTGGTCACATTTGATGATGACAACTCTCCTTCCTTTATCCAAATTCGTTCAGTTGCCAAGAAGCATCCTAAAACTTGGGTACATTACATTGCTGCTGAAGAGGAGGACTGGGACTATGCTCCCTCAGTCCTTACCCCCAATGACAGGTAAACACTTTATAACTATTGGTACTCTCTCTTCCCCATACTCAAAAAGTTCTCACCAGTTATTCAAACCAACAAATCCTTAAGCCATGTTTAAGGTTAGGTACAGGTGTGGAATCAAATGACAAGGTATTAACATTTGGAAACTGACATAGCTGAGCGTCAGAGAAGCTTCTATTTCTCTCACTCCTTGCCTTGATTGAATCATATAAGCTGTTTTGGAGTTGGATTTGAGCTGAGCCTACCTAAAATTTTTCTTCCCAACCTCTCATCTTTTTTTCTCTTATTCAGAAGTTATAAAAGTCAATATTTGAACAATGGCCCTCAGCGGATTGGTAAGAAGTACAAAAAAGTTCGATTTATGGCATACACAGATGAAACCTTTAAGACTCGTGAACCTATTCAGTATGAATCAGGAATCTTGGGACCTTTACTTTATGGGGAAGTTGGAGACACACTGTTGGTAAGTTGAGGAGAAGATTTAAGGTCAGGAAAGAAGAAAAAGTCTGGAGAGTTTTGAGTTTCTAAAATACTTTATAATTCAGCCTTGTCTCCAGTGGACATATTTTAAAAACTATAAATGTTACACAAATAATTGCTGATTGTATATTTTTTAAATATGAGTATATAGAAAAAAATTTAATGTCACTCATTAAACTCAACACTCCTTTGAAATACTGCATAGACTTTGATACATATCCTTCCAGATCTTTCTCCATTAATTATATAGAATCGGAGTCAGCAGACTGTGGCCTATAAGACAAATTTGGCTTGTGGCCTGCTTTTGAATAGTCCATGAGCTTAGATGAGATTTCACATTTTTAAAATATTGCAAAGAAAAGAATGGAGCGGGGGAGGAAGGGGAGGAAGAAGGCAGAGGAGGAAGAGAATATGTGACAGAGATTAGATAGCGCTCATAAATTTTAGAGTATTTACTATCCAGCCTTTTCCAAAAAATGCTTGCTTGCCCCAATCTAGGATATTAAGAATAAGTATGGTGTAAGTAACAGAATACTCAATGGACAGTGGTTTAAATAAATAAGGGTTTATTTTCTTCACAAGAAATTTGAAGATAGGTCATTGGTTGCATCAATTCAACTGCCCAAGAATGTCATGAAGGACACTGGTTTTTAGATGTGGAGTTTTGTTAGACACTGCCAAACTGATTTTCAGCAATTTTATACCAATTTGTATCCCCTACCATAAGTATATGACTGCCCTTTTCCCACACCATTGCCAACAATATATATTTTAAATCTTCAGAAAATTTTCCAATTTAATGAGCTAAATATTTATATGTTGTCTTCATTTGCATTTCCCAGGTTAGTAGTCAAATTGTTTATTGTTTCATGGTTGTTGGCTATTTATATAACTCCCTCTGAGAATTGCCTGCTAGTAAATTTTGTCCAGTTTTCTATTTGGGTAGCCATCTTTTGCTTATGTATTTGTAAAAGGCCTTTATATATTATGGATATTGACACATTGTTATTTATCTTTCAAATGTTTTCGTCACATTGTCACTTGTACTTTAATTCCTTTATGGTATTTTTTGTCCTTCAAAAATTTTTGATCTTTATATATAGTCAAAATCTTCTATTCTTTATCAGTCTTTTCATTTATGTTTCTGCCTGAAAATGTCTTTGCCACCCCCAAGAAATTACAAAAATAGTATATATTATATTCTCTTATTTGTATAGCTTTATTTATATAGTGAGCAATCTAATTGCCCTGGAAGTTACTTTTGGTTGTAGTGCATAATTCAAATAGAAATTTTTCCAAAATGGCAGCTAACTGACACAACCAATCCTTTTTTCATTAATTTGAAAATGTCTTCTTTATTATATACTAAATTGCTAAAATCTGGCATCTTGAATTCTTAACTAATCTGTTACCACACTGTTTTAATAACTGCAACTTTGTGATATGTTTGATAACTATACGATATCTTCCTTCATTGTACTTCTTCAAAATTTTTATTAGCTATTCTTGTACAGTTTTTCTTCATAAATTTTGTTTACCTATTTTTTCTTTTTTCATTTCTTGAAGATTGTATAATTTTATTTTTTTATTCATTAATTTTTAAAATGCATAATGACATAATTTTATATGTTTATGGGGTACTTTTTGTGTATTTTTAGTTACTTTTACTGGCTAGTTCAAAAATAGGTAAACAAGAGCATACAATAAAAAGTAAATTTTCTTCCCTCTCAGACTTCCAACCCCATAGTGTGACAGACAGTCATTGTTGTGGGTTTGTATATTCCCCTCCAGAAATACTGTATACATGTACAAATGTGTGTGTGTGTGTGTGCACACACATGTGTTTGTATTTCACACAAAAACAGGAGCAGTGTAAATTTGGTCTGTACCTTGATTTTCAAAAAGTAGCAATATATTTTGAATTGGCTGGCTGTGGTGGTGCATGCCTGTAGTCCCAGCTACTTGGGAGGTGAGGGAGGAGAATCGCTTGAATCCAGGAGGTGGAGGTTGCAGTGAGCTGAGATCCCACCACTGCACTCCACCCTGGGTGACAGAGCAAGACTCTGTCTCAAAAAAAAAAAAAGTAACAGTATATTTTTGATATCACTTCATATCAACATATATAGATCTACCTCATCTTTGATTTATTCAGGTTATGCTCTGGACACCTTGCTGAATCTTACACTTAAACATTAACTCAAAATGGATAAAAGATAAAATGTAAGAGGTAAAACTACAAAATTACAGGAAAATACAGGAATAAATCTTTGTGATCTTGAATTAGACAATGGTTTATTGGATATAACACCAAAACCAAGAAGCAACAAAAGTAAACATAGATAATTTTACTTCATCATACTTAAAAATTTTTGTGCTTCAAAGGACACCCAGAAAATGAAAAGACAATGCATGGAACTGGAAAAAATGTTTGCATATTTTATATCTGATAAGGATCTACTGTCCAAAATATATATATAAGGACCCTTTCAACTCAATAATAAATAGGCAGGTCACTGAAAACCACTCAAAAGTTCACCAAATGGTGAATAGATAAATAAAATGTGGTATATCCATATAACTGGAATTTTATTCAGCAATTAAAAGAAAATAACTAATTATATATGATAAATATAGATAAAATTCAAAACACTGTAAGTTAAAGAAGTCAGACAAAATGACTTACATATTGCATGATTTAACTTATATAAAATATACAGAAAAGGCCAATTTATACAGCAGAAGTCTCTTTAGTGACTGTCAGGGGCTGGGAGCGGAAGCAGGGATTGCCTGCAACCCAGCATGGAGAATCTTTCTGGGGTGATAGAAATATTCTAATACTGGATTGTGGCAATCATTGCACAACTCCATACATTTACTAAAAACCATTTAATTTGGAGATCCAAGGTGGCTGAATAGGAACAGCTCTGGAGTGCAGTTCCCAGAGAGAACAACGCAGAGGGTGAGTGATCACTGCATTTCCAAATGAGTTATTACTGCCTATAGACCAAGAGATTCCCGGGCTGAAAAGTGCCATGAGTTTCCAGCATGGCTGTGTCAGCTGGTGTAGTGGGTCTCCACACAAACACTCACACAAATCTGGGCGGCCGTTTCAATGGGAGCCTAGAATGTCTGGGAGACAGAGCCACCCATTCAACTGAAAAAAAGGGGGCTGAAACAGGGAGCCAGGTGATCTGGCTCAGTGGATCCCACCCCAACAAAGACCAACAATCTGAAACGCTCTGGATTGAGAGTTTCACAGCAAGTGCAGCTGGACCCCGGATGGTCCAACACGGTGGGGGGAAGGGTATCAGCCATTACCAAGGCAGTCCACCATTACCAAGGCAGTCCACCATTAACGAGGCAATCTGCCTTTACTGAGGCAGTCCACCATTACTGAGGCAGACTGCCATTACCAAGGCAGTTCTAACTGTACCTCTGTAAACAAAACTGCAAGGAAGTTCACGCAGCAGCTGAGCAGAGCCCATGGCAGCTCAGCAACGCCTCTGCTGGCATACTGTGACTAGGCTACCTCCTTTCTGGGCAGGGCATCTCTGAAAAAAAGCAGCAGCATGTCAGGAACTTATAAATAAAGCCCCACCTTCCCAGGACAGAGCACCTAGGAAAAGAGGCAGTTATGAGTTCTGCTGTAGCAGACTTAAACTTACCTACCCAGCAGCTCTGAATGGACCAATGGAGCTCCCAGCACAGCACTTGAGCTCCTATAAGAGACAGATGTCTCCTCAAGCAGCTCCCCAAACCCCATATGTCCAAAGAGACACCTCATAAAGGAGAGCTCAGGCTGACAGCTGGAGGGTATCCTTCTGTGACAAAGATAACAGAAGAAACTGGCGGCAACCCTTACTGTTCTGCAGCTGCCACAGGTGATCCCCAGGTAAGCAGGGTCTGGAGTGGACTTCCAGCAGTCCTACAGCAGAGGAGCCTAACTGTTAGAAGGAAAACTAAAAAACAGAAAAAAATAACTTCATCATCAACAAAAAGGACATCCACTCAGAGACCCCATCTGAAAGTCACCAACTACAAAGACCACAGGTAGATAAATCCACGAAGATTGAAGAAATCAGTGCAAAAAGGATGAAAACACCCAAAACCGGAACGCCTCTCCTCCCCAAGGGATCACAACTCCTCACCAGCAAGGGAACAAAGCTGGATGGAGAATGAGTCTGACAAATTGACAGAAACGGGCTTCAGAAGATGGGTAATAACAAATTTCTCTGAGCTAAAAGAATATGTTCTAACCCAATGCAAAGGAACTAAGAAGCTTGAAAAAAGGTTAGATGAAATGCTAACTAGACTAAACAGCTTAGAGAAGAATATAAGATTTGATGGAGCTGAAAAACAAAACATGAA